GAGGACGCGCCCGGAAATGTCGGCTTTTATGACCAGTTATTGGGCCTGAAATGGGTATCAATTTTTTATATAAAATTATTCAATAATACGTTATATTAATTAACAATTTAATAATAGGTCAGAGAAAACATCCATTTATTTGGTGGAGATAAGGATCGGATCACCATTTTTGGTGAGAGCGCCGGGAGTTGGTCGGTGTCCGCACACATACTCTCCCCGCTATCAAAGGGTATGTTTAAGAGGGCTATTATGGAGAGCGGCGCCCATATGTATAACAAGGACAGGGATGTCGTCACTAAAGCTGAAGCACTGCTTAATGCCAAAGCAATTCACGCCGAATTGATTAGGGAATTAAAGTGCAGTATTTTAGAGGATTGGCTCAATTGTTTGCGTCGAGCACATGTCCTAGATATACTTAAACATGAGAATCTAATCTCAACTTACCCTGTGTTGGGCACAGAGTTTTTGCCAATTTCTGCCCAACAGGCCTTTAATGAGAAAAAAATTAATACAGGTACTATTTTAAACATTAATAAAATATATAATAACACAAATAATAATAATTAATTAATAAATTATTACTATATTGACTTAATTTAAAATAGTAGCTCATAGCTTTAATATTGTTAAATATATTATTTATATAAAATTTTACACTTAATTAAATAGATATTGATTTAATGGCTGGCAATACACACGACGAGGGCGCTGGGTTTATAAAACTTGTTATCAGAGACCCTGCTCACATGACACTAATTGATTTTGACATCGGGGTAAAAGCAATCGAATTACTGGGCTATCACAACATTAATGTGCTTAAAGTCGAGGAACATTACCTAAAAGGTGTCAACACTTGGGACAGTCAGGCACTTCGCACGGCGTTTAGTGCACTATTAGGCGATGCCATAAACATATGTCCGACATATCTGTTCGCCAAACGGTTCGCACAAACTGTCAAAGAGTCGCAAAGTGTTTACTCATACCAGTTGTTGTACGCAAGCGATTATTTTGCTAAGAAAATGAGTTGCGATATAAAGACCATGGGCATTTGTCACGCCATGGATGTGCCCTTTGTATTTGGTTTGCCATTACTTTCGCCCAACGATTACAGTCAGGAAGACATCGATTTTGCTAAATATGTGATGAAAATGTGGACAAAGTTTGCCACCGATGGGTAAATAACATTGTTTAATATTTATTCATATATTCCTATAACAATATTTTTATAATATTTATAAAATAATTAATGAATTTTAATACTAATAATTAATTTAGTCACATGGACATTGATTGGCCACAACTTTTAAATAACCCGATGGGTGCGCCCAAAGTGCACGGTTTGGATCCAACAAACCTAACGCTAGTACTAAACGATCCGTTTCATGAAACATGTGATGGCGTTTGGGCTGATTATTATCTATAAAAAAAATTAATTATTTAAGCATAATGCATTACTCTATATTATTTATTTAAAAATATTTATTGTAATTATTAAGATAATATTAAAATTGTTTTATTTATAAATATATTTATTGATAATTAGTTAAATAATTCTTGTTTTGTGAATTATATTGACATTTAGGACAAAAACAGTGAATCAAATCATTAAATTTATATTATAAGGATTAGAAAGCTAATTTAAATATTAATATGTAAAATGCAACAAATCCATACAAAATTAGTTTTTATTTGTCAATTTATGTATTTTGCTAACATGTGATTTCAACTCGTTTTTTGTGACAAAAGTTTTGTGGCAACTATTATAACTACATTTATTATTTTTAATTTTAAAATGTCTTTGAGATGAATCATATATTATACATTATACAAGAATGTCAATCATGTTTTATAATAATAGTAATGCAATACTTTATTCCAAATAGATATGCAACTTTTTCCAATTTTCATTTCCCTGCCCTGCCCTGTTCCCTGTTATTTCTGCTTAGAGGGAATCCCTGCCCTGCCCTGTAGAGGCTAACAGGGAACCCCGGGGATTCCCTGTAATTTCCCTGTAAAATTTTTAAAATAGATATATCTTATAAAAACGTTTATTTATTCATTATATTTTATTATTTAAATACATAAACTTGAAATAAAACTCTATTATAACAATTTAACTGTATTACAACCTTTTTGTAACAAAAATTCATTCATCACTATTAACAAAATTATCACTCACTTTCTGTATTACAGGGAAATTAGAGGGAAATTTTGTTACAGGGATTCCCTCTAAGGGTTACAGGGATTCCCTGTCCCTGCCCTGCTCATTGAATCTCATTTCCCT